GCTTTTAGCACTGATGCTCTGCCACCTCTGCCCTATGCCCTGAGACTATTGGTGATGAAAGGAGAAACAGCAAACACCGAACCAGCTGCTCAGAGGCAAATATACACACATGATTTCACAAAAATGAATGGATGGTCCCTGTGGGCAATGGAGAAGAGAGACAGGGTAAATGGGTAGCGAAAACTTCCACCTAGTTTTTGCTCTGTTCCAAGAACTTTTTTTTTTGAGACAGAGTTTTGCTCTTGTTGCCTAGGCTGGAATGCAATGGCTCAATCTCTGCTCACCTCAACTTCCGATTCCCGAGTTCAAGTGATTCTCCTGCTTCCAGAGTAGCTGGGATTACAGGCATGAGCCACCACACCCGGCTAATATTGTATTTTTATTAGAGACGGGGGTTTCTCCATGTTGGTCAGGCTGGTCTCGAACTCCTGATCTCAGGTGATCTGCCCATCTCAGCCTCTGAAAGTGCTAGGATTATAGGTGTGAGCCACCGTGCCTGGACCATTCCAAGAACTTTAAAGCAAGAGGGGTGTATTATGAATGGTAGAAGAGAACCACCTGTTACACATGTAGTCTTGGACAGGGTACAAGGCTGGGATCACCTGAACTCTCTTTGGCTTCTTTATTCCATGTCACACGAACATACACAGGCACACACATACATGCACCCAATCATGAGGTTCACAGGAGAGAGTACTCTTCCCTGCTGTTAGAACTTCTGCCTGTCAGGTGGCTCCTGCCACTTCTGGCTCTACCAGCCACATATTCTAAATCTCAGAGCACGAATTTCCCTGACACATAACCCTGGAGCACTGACACATAAACAGCAGCCTGGGGGCCTGAACTCAGTGCATTCAGAGGCCCACAGGCACTGCCTGCTTCCAAGGGCACAGAACATAGGTCATCTGGGGGCTGAGGGCCAGCATGTGCTCTCTCTGGGCACTGCATGCTTCTATCCCAAGTTGGATGACCTTTCCAGACCAGGCAGTACTAATCCCCTTGGGCCAGTCATTAGGATGACTTCCCAGAGCAGTCGGTCACTTGCCTCCACCCCTCTGCTGACCATCAAAAATGACGGTGAGAGTATAATTGGGTACATCCCTGGGGAGGACCATTTGGCAGTATCTTGCAAATTTGCAAATGCATAGACCTTATAGCAAAATCTATTCGTAGGATATACTCACATGCAGATGAAAAGACGTGTTTAAGTTATTTGTTGCAACATCATCTGTTAGTAAAGACAAGAAGTAAGCTCGATGTCTATCAGAAGCTGATTGGTTTCATAGACGATCATACATCCATATAATGGGATACTGAAAATGAGATGCTTTTGGCTGGGCACGGTGGCTCATGCCTGTAATCCCAGCATGTGGAAGGCCAAGGTGGGCGGATCACCAGAGGTCAGGAGTTCGAGACCAACCTGGTCAACATGGGGAAACCCCATCTGTACTAAAAACACAAAAATTAGCTGGGCATGGTGGTGCGCACCTGTAGTTGCAGCTACCTGAAAGGCTGAGGTAGGAGAATTGCTTGAACCTGGGAGGCAGAGGTTGCAGTGAGCTGAGATTGGGCAACTGCACTCCAGCCTGGGTGACAGAGCAAGGCTCTGTCTCAAAAAAGGAAAAAAAAAAGGACACTTTTGTATATCGATCTGGAAGGATCACAGACACATAGTTAAGTTAAAATAAGCAAGGTGCAGAACAGTGGGTATATTTGACTGCTATTTGTGTAGAAAAGAAAGGATACAAGAATATATATGTTTGTATTGACTCGTATGTATATAAAATATTAGCCAAGGGATAAACCAGAGACTAAGGGAGATGAAAACTGGGATGAAAGCAAGTCTCTATAATATGCATTTGGTGTGTGTGTGTATATATATATATATATATATATATATATATTTTTTTTTTTTTTAAATAGAGTCTTGCTCTGTCTCCCAGGCTGGAGAGCAATGATGCAGTCTTGGCTTACTGCAACCTCCGCCTTCCAGTTTCTTTTCTTTTTTTTTTTTTTTTTTTTGAGACGGAGTTTTGCTCTTGTTACCCAGGCTGGAGTGCAATGGCGCCATCTCGGCTCACTGCAACCTCCACCTCCCGGGTTCAAGCAATTCTCCTGCATCAGCCTCCCGAGTAGCTGAGACTACAGGCGTGCGCCACCATGCCCAGCTAATTTTTGTATTTTTAGTAGAGACAGGGTTTCTCCTTGTTGACCAGGATGGTCTCGATCAATTGACTTCGTGATCCACCCGTCTCGGCCTCCCAAAGTGCTGGGATTACAGGCGTGAGCCACCGCGCCCGGCCTCCGCCTTCCAGTTTCAAGCGATTCTCCTGCCTCAGCCTCCTGAGTAGCTGGGATTACAGGCGCCCACCACCGCCTGGCTAATTTTTGTATTTTTAGTAGAGACGGGGTTTCACCATGTTGGCCAGGCTGGTCTCCAATTCCTGATCTCAGGTTATCCACCGGCCTTGGCCTCTCAAAGTGCTGGGGTAACAGGCATGAGCCATCACATCTGACCACATTTGGTATATTTTGATGATTGAATAATGTGCATGTATCATCTATTCGAAAAATTAAGTTAAAAAACACAAAATCACAAATAAGACCCAATAGTCTTATAGACTAAAGTGGCAAATGAAGGAGCCCTTCCCCCTGCCATCTGCTTGGGCAGTTGGAAACCAGACTGAGGAATGAGAGCAGGGATGGGTTGGCAGAGGAGGAGGCCAGGTGCCTCAACGTCACTGTGTTTGCTCATAAAACCTTTCCTAACGCGAGTCAGAAATTTCTCTTCTTACAGTGTCACTTGGTTATTGGCGTAATCATTCCCCAAGCTCAGGCACACTCACGTGGTTTGAGAAATCTTGTCTTTTTTGCATATGTTAAACATTTGTACACACTTCCTCCAAATTACAAGGTCACCTCTAAGGCAATGACAGTCTTTGAAGTTGCTCGATTTCCTGGCACCCCTTCCCCTTCCCCATCCAATGCTAATGTCCTGGACAGAAAAAAAAAATGCTGGATGGCATGTATTGGTTTTTAGAGTTACTTTTTGGGAATCTTATGATACCCTTTTGAGATAACTGGCAACAACACTCTGGGGTGTTGCAAAACGCTTCTTGGGAGTGACCGCCTTGATGGTCAACAGGAAGCCATAGCCAAGACTCCAGGCCCAGTGGGGCCTGCACCACTCTGTCATGACTTGAGTGGGGGCAGTAGATGGGAGGGCCAGAGGCTGCCTCTTCACCTTCACCCCCTGGGCATTTCCATGGATCCAAAGGCCTGCTTGGGGTTCTTCATGGGTTTGGAAGGCACCTGCTTGGGAGCCGGGCAGATCCTGCTCCTGGGTGAGCAGCTAGGTCCCTGGGAGATGTGGCTGGTTCTTTTTCCTTGGGGATAATTTTAGGTTCGGAATTCCCCTGCAACCTTCCTAACTCTTAGCCCCTGGCTCAGTCTCCCAGAGGGATTGTTCATACCAGTGACTATAAAGTGTTCTTTCGAAATATAGAGCTATTCAGAGGAGACCTGCCAGGGCATAGCCCTGGAGGCATTTTCCATGATAATTTTTTCCCCCTTTTTCCCATTGTTTCAGTGGAGGAAGCATAATAGCTCAAGAATCAGGTCCTGATAGGCCCTAATGAGGTGTCCCGTCTTCCTGCCCCACCACTTGAACCCAGAGGTTTTATTTTCCAGCGCCCCTGCCCCATACACAATCTGAGAGAAACTGGTTTAGAGATTGGGAGAGCTTGGGCTGGAAAGAGGAAGCCTTCCAAGTCTTGAGTGAGGGAAGGGAGAGGGGAAGAGGCCTCTGGCGTCTTTAGATGAGGGAAGCCTCTGGTGGAACCGCCTGAGAGACTTCAGAGGCTTTGAAACACCAGGCCTGCCATGGTACACACCCAAGGATGAACGCATGAATGCCTCAACTCAGTGCCTTCTAACTTGTAAAAGTTCATGAATAAAATCCTCAAGGAAGGCTGGGCACGGTGGCTCACACCTGTAATCCCAGCACTTTGGAAGGCCTAGGCGAGTGGATCACCTGACTGAGGCCAGGAGTAAACTAGTTTGGCCAATATGGTGAAATCCCCATTTCTACTAAAAATACAAAAATTAGCTGGGTGTGCTGGCACATGCCTGTAATCCCAGCTACTTGGGAGGCTGAGGCAGAAGAATTGCTTGAACCTGGAAAGTGGAGGTTGCAGTGAGCCAAGACTGTGCCATTGTACTCCAGCCTGGGCAACACGAGTGAACTTTCATCTCAAAAAAAAAAAAAAAATCCTAAAGGAAGTGGCACGAACACTTACCATTGGGGGGTTGGCAATGGAAGAGTTGTGTATAGTTGGAGGGGATGGTAGACATGGCTCTTACCCAGTCACCCATTTACCCATTTTTTTTTTTAATAGGGTCTTGCTTCTTGCCCTTGTCCAAGCTGGAGTGCAGTAGTGTGATCATGGCTTACTGTAACCTTGAACTCCTGGGCCCAAGTGATCCTCTCCTCTCCGCCTCTTGGCTCATCCATTTTTAACATGGCTTTATAACAGAAGGGTTTTAAGAGAAGAGGCTATCTAGAAAACCTCTAGGTGGAAAAGTGCGTGGAAGGGGCAGTGCAGAGTGGGGAAGATGGAGAAATTGAAATTCTGCAGCATTGCAGGCTACATAGTGCCAAATCCAAATGCAAATCCAGGGCTAGCAATGAAAAAGACTTCCGAACCTACTAGTGGTTCGAGCCTGTAATTCCAGCTACTCAGGAGGTTGGGGCAAGAGGATGGCTTGAGCTCAGAAGTTCAAAGCCAGCCTGGGAAAAACAGAGACAGAGATCTACCCCCCAGAGAGAGAAACAGACAGAGAAAGAAAGGGAGAGAGGAGAAAGGAGGGGGGGGAGAGAGAGAGAACAAAGTTGGAAGGGAAGAGAAAGTAACTGAAATAGAAGGGAAAGGGGACAGATCTCATCAGGCTGAGGTCTTGGGAGAGGAGGTACTGGCTGCTCTGTATTACTTAATTTAGAATACCTTAGGGGAGGCCACCCAAGTGGATGAGGGGATCCTTTTCTTGACTCCAGCGGGTTACCTTCCCTCTGACAGGGTAAAGGGCGAAGATGGGAGCCCTCTGGGACCTTCTGGGAAAGGAGGCACAGGGCTCCAGGAAGCCAGTGTCCGGGGAGTGCTGTGCTGAGTCCAGGGGCCTGGCCAGGGCAGGGGTGGACAGATTGTCTCAGAGGAGCCAGGGCGTCCCTTCCTCCAGATTTAGCTAAAGGAAACGTGGAACATCTCATTGGCCATCCTCCCCACTCTCCAATTCGGCTCCAGAGGCCCCTCCAGACTATCCGCCGGCCACTGTCCCTTTAAGCGCCGCACTCCTCCCCCAGCGGTGGCACGGAGGGAGTGGGGGTGAGGGGAGGCTGAGCGCTCACGCCCGGACTGCTAGGGAAGATGGTCCAGGCTGGGGGAGTCGCTCTCAAGTCCCGCTGCCCCCTCCCCTGAGCCAGGTGATTTGGGAAGCCCCCTTCTTTCCCTCCCACCCCCACGCGCCACCAGGGATGACTCCGTGGCCTCACGGGAACAGTACTCTAGCCCCGTGGCCGGACGTCCCCAATACCGCCAACACCAGTGGGCTGCCAGGGGTGCCGTGGGCGGCGGCCCTGGCCGGGGCGCTGCTGGCGCTGGCGGTGCTGGCCACCGTGGGAGGCAACCTGCTGGTCATTGTGGCCATCGCCCGGACGCCGAGACTCCAGACCATGACCAACGTGTTCGTGACTTCGCTGGCCACAGCCGACCTGGTGGTGGGACTCCTGGTGGTGCCGCCGGGGGCTACCTTGGCGCTGACTGGCCACTGGCCGTTGGGCGCCACTGGTTGCGAGCTGTGGACCTCAGTGGACGTGCTGTGTGTGACCGCCAGCATCGAAACCCTGTGCGCCCTGGCCGTGGACCGCTACCTGGCCGTGACCAACCCGCTGCGTTACAGCGCACTGGTCACCAAGCGCCGCGCCCGGGCAGCCGTGGTCCTGGTGTGGGTCGTGTCGGCCGCGGTGTCGTTTGCGCCCATCATGAGCCAGTGGTGGCGCGTAGGGGCCGACGCCGAGGCGCAGCGCTGCCACTCCAACCCGCGCTGCTGTGCTTTCGCCTCCAACATGCCCTACGTGCTGCTGTCCTCCTCCGTCTCCTTCTACCTTCCGCTCCTCGTGATGCTCTTCGTCTATGCGCGGGTTTTCGTGGTGGCTACTCGCCAGCTGCGCTTGCTGCGCGGGGAGCTGCGCCGCTTTCCGCCCGAGGAGTCCCCGCCGGCTCGTTCGCGCACTCTGGCCCCCGCTCGCGCGGGGACCTGCGCTCCGGCTGAAGCGGTGCCCGCCTGCGGCCGGCGGCCCGAGCGCCTCCTGCCTCTCCGGGAACACCGGGCCCTGTGCACTTTGGGTCTCATCATGGGCACCTTCACTCTCTGCTGGCTGCCCTTCTTTCTAGCCAACGTGCTGCGCGCCCTGGGGGGCCCCTCTCTGGTCCCCGGCCCGGCCTTCCTCGCCCTGAACTGGTTAGGCTATGCCAACTCTGCCTTCAACCCGCTCATCTACTGCCGCAGCCCGGACTTTCGTAGCGCCTTCCGCCGTCTTCTGTGCCGCGGTGGCGGCTGCCTGCCCCTGGAGCCCCGCGCCGCCGCCTCCCCCGCCCTCGTTCCCCCGGGCGCCTCGGCCGCCCGGACCAGCCCCGCGCAGCCCAGGCTTTGCCGACAGCTCGACGGGTAGGTAACCGGGGCGAAGGGAACAGCGGCTCAGGGTCCGGAAGCCTGCGATGTCTCCATGCGTGTACTTGTTGAGTTTGGAGTTTCCTAGGAGAAGGTGGGACCTGGGATGGCTCTGCTTGAGAGAAGGAACGAGGAGTGGCGAACCAAAATGGGACCCAGGGCCCTTTCCTTTCAGGATACAGGTGCGCCATGGGAAAGCGCTGCGGTGTCCCGAGGACTCTGGCACTGCCTGGTTGGCTCTAGGGATTTTTTTTTTTTTTTTTTTTTAAATAGAGACAGGGTCTCATCTCTGTCGCCCAGGCTGGAATGCAGTGGTGCGATGTCAGCTCACTGAAGAGCTCACTTTTGCAGGCCTGAGCCAGGGCGCCGGGTCTGCTCTAGTTTTGGTTTTCCAGCTCAGTTCTTTGCCCCCACTCCCACCCCGATTTCTGGCCATCTCTAGACCTGGCTCACACTTGAAGACAGGGCTAGTGCCCGCCCCTCCACCCCCCAAGCCCTTGGACTCAGTTCTGGGTTTTCTCAGAACGGTTTTGACGGCCGTGGAGGTGAGAATCCACTTCCGGTATGAAGTGCAGCTGTGAGTGAGGAGCCTGTGAGTGCAGATTCGTGCCTGGGCTGGGTTGGAGTGGGGGTGGGGTGGGGCGTGTGTGGCCCGGTGGTGCCCTGGCGTTTTTGTGTAATTAAATGTGCGTTCCAGGGTCCCTGATCCCTATCCCTCCCTTCAGTGCACCTGGTCCTCTCTTCACCCCAGGGGCTATTTCCGTTTTTTTTTTTTTTTTTTTTTTTCAGGGCTTCCTGGGGAGTTTCTTAGGCCTGAAGGACAAGAAGCAACAACTCGGTTGATCAGAACTTGTGGAAAGCCTCTAGCCTCTGTTCACAATGAATCCCATGGGATTTCCGGGCTGTGACACTCTACCCTTCAGAACCTGGCGACTGGGCCATGTGACCCGAGGGGGGAATCCTTACCAAGTGGGTTTTCACCATCCTTTCACTCTCTGAGAGATGTTTTCCAAACCCCACCCTTGAACTTCACTCCTCCTTCGGTGGTAGTGCCCAGCTGCCCTGGAGCAGCGAGCTGGCTTTGGTAGAGGGCACCCATCACCTGGCTCGCTTGTGCAGTCAGTGAGGGCTTAGGGCAAAGAGAGCGCCCCCGGTCCCATTCCTTCTGCCACCCAAACCCTGATGAGACCGCAGTGTTCTCCAGGCTCCATAGCCCAGGCTGAGAGTAGCAGGCTGGAAAAGACCAAGATTTGGGGTTTTGTCTCTAGTTCCCTCATTACGGCTCTCAAGCACTGGCCTCTCTCACTGTAGCCATGGAACGGCTCCGATCTACCTCACAGCAGTGTCAGAAGGTCTTTGTCAGGGTTTCAGGAGCTCCAGGTTCACAGGAAGGTGAACCATTAGAACACATTCCTTCTTTTCCTTTTGCAATCAGATGAATAAATATCACGGAACGCAGTTCATCCTTGGCCCCCTTTTTCTCCGTTTGTTTTCTTTTCATAATCCACTTACTCCCTTCCCTTCCACTCTTCGCCGGCTTCTGACAGAGGCAGTAAATTAGGCCTAATCCTCGCCCTTTTCTTCCTAATCCTCATCAAATGAAATATAAAAAGTCTGTCTGGACGAAGGGGGCGAGTTTGAGCCTTTGATATCTTGCTCCCCCACCCTTCCTGAAACTCTTGGAATCCAGTTGCCATTGAGTAGCAAAGCCACGCCCCCTGCAGGACTTAGACAAAGTGCCCACAGGGGATGGGCTGGCTGTGGCCAGGCTCAGGGCAGGGGGCATTTGTCCCCTCCATGATAGAAGCCAGTGGTGGATTCATAAGGTCCCGTGGTCATCAGGAACGGATTTTGTTCAGTGCCTTGTGGGGTGTGTGTGTGTGTGTGTGTGTAGGCACAAAGTTTGCTTGTGTTGGCCAAATGTCTTGTGTTATAAAGATATTCTGATGTTTCCCAGCCTTTCCACAACCTTCCTACTCCTCTTCCCGGGCTACCAAAATCTGTATTATCCTCTTAAATTAAAACTGAAGTTAACAAATTTGAGCCTGTTGATACATTTTTCTTTTATTCCCATTTTTATGAATCTTATCAGGTAGGTTTCCTATGGAAAGAAAATTTCTATGGAAATCATTAGATCATTTTGTGGGTTTCTATTTAAACTCCATGAGCCAAGACCGTTGTCCAGGCTGATTTATGGGATACTTCGTAAATCACAGATGTTTCGCGTGCTTGTGATGTAGTACGCAACGCAACTCGTTGTCTTGGTTCAGGGGCCCTAGAGTTATAAAATTCCATCTGCCCCCAGGAGGAGCTCGTTGGATTTCCACATATGGGTGTTTCTTGTGAATTGGACCTGGTCTGTGCTGCTGTCTTTTCTCCAGGAGCCCAGGTTTTATTTCTCAGGATGTTTGCATACAAAAGATGACTTTCTCTTTTTTAATTAGAGCAGGGTGAGATCTCTGGTGTCTGAGGTGTGCAAGATTTCTTGGCAAAGACTCAACTTTGTGGCTCTTTGTGGAGGAGGAAGTCTTGCTTGATAAATAAGAGGCCCTCCTCTCCCCATCTCTGGGTATTCTCCCAACGTCGCTGGGTAAAGTTGGGCTGTCAGTGCCAGGCAAGGGAGAAAGATGATTTTGGAGGAGGGGCCGCCGGTTTGTAGACTTGTCCTTGAACGTTGTCCAGAGGCTCATCCTGCTCGAGTCTTGCTGGATGTGTCCGTGTGCCAGCTGTCGTACTCCTTTGTAGTGTTTAGACTTGTGCTGGGGCTATGGATTCCATCTGCAGATTGTCAGATGGAATCTGGTCATTCCTCCAGCAACTTGTGGCCAGGTGTCAAGTGGAGGGAGATTTACATCCTTGGATGGGAGCAGGCTGCTTTCGCTAGCATGAGGCCTGAGCACTTGAACTATAGAAGACAAACAGCTGGCCCCGGAACCCAGAGATGTGACAACTTCCAGGCCTGTGAGAACAACAGAACCCCTGGAGCTGCTGGCCTCCCCAGAGTCTGTTAGTTGGAGCTGGGCATGGGACAGAAATGACAGGGAAGAAAGGGTTGATTTGGAGGAGGGAGAGGAGTGAGTTTTTTTATTTTTTATTCTTATTTTTGAGATGGAGTTTCACTCTTGTTGCCCAGGCTGGAGTGCAATGGCGTGATCTCAGCTCACCGCAGCCTCCACCTCCCAGGTTCAAGCCATTCTCCTGCCTCAGCCTCCAGAGTAGCTGGGACCATGCGCCACCACGCCTGGCTAATTTTGTATTTTTAGTAGAGACGAGAGTTCTCAATGTTGGTCAGGCTGGTCTTGAACTCCCGACCTCAGGTGATCTGCCCGCCTCGGCCTCCCAAAGTGCTGGGATTACAGGCATGAGCCATCAAGTCCAGCTTGAAGAGTGGGTTTTTTCTGAGCTGACATACCCTTTGCATCAAGTGGAACTGAAGGGAAACAGGCAGAATTTGGGTACAGGAGGATGTGGGGGGCTGACTTTCCCAGACTCTCTTCTGGGGAAAGGAGGTAAGTGCAGGCTTTGGTCCCTGGGCTGTAGTCCTATGCTGGCTGCATCCTCAACCCCTAGAGAGTAGGAGCAGCTCCTCTCCTCTGCATGTTTCTGTTGCACCCTACATGGTCCTGAGAGCACAGGGGAAGATGTGGAAATAGTGCTTCCTGCTGTTTCCATCCTAAAACAACAGCCTAGGTCCAGGCCCTTCGAAAGCCTCTTGGCAAAGGTATGTCTACACAGTGTGTGTATTTGGGCGTCTATCGAGAACAGGGAGGTTCATCCTCCCATGGCAAGTGCTGCCAATGCTCTCCCCATGAAATAAACCCTGGGTGTAGTCTGCCTCTGACCAGTGAGAAGCAGCTGAAGCATAACTTGGTTATGGCTGAGGCAGGAGAATTGCTTGAACCTGGGAGGTGGAGGCTGCGGTGAGCTGAGATCACGCCATTGCACTCCAGCCTGGGCAACAAGAGTGAAACTCCATCTCAAAAATAAGAATAAAAAACAAAAAACTCACTCCTCTCCTCTCCTCCAACTCAACCCTTTCTTCCCTGTCATTTCTGTCCCATGCCCAGCTCCAACTAACAGACTCTGAGGAGGCCAGCAGCTCCAGGGGTTTAAGCATAATTTGGTTTAATTTGAGGCCAAGGCGGGCAGATTGCTTGAGGTCAGGCATTCGAGATCAGCCTGGCCAACATGGCAAAGCTGTCTGTACTAAAAATACGAAAATTAGCCGGGCATGGTGGCGCACACCTGCAGTCTCAGCTACTTGGGAGGCTGAGGCAAGGAGAATTGTTTGAACCCTGGAGGGAGTTCAGAGGCTGCAGTGAGCCAAGATCAAACCACTGCACTCCAGCCTGGTTAAGACTCCATCTCAAAAAAAAATAAAATAAAATAAAA